GGGGCCGCGGGATGAGAAGAGGGGGTGACGGGGCCGCGGGGTGAGAAGAGGGGGCGCCGGCTGTGTTCGAGACGGGTCAGTGGGGCCGCGGGATGGAAAGGAGGTGACGGGGGCGCCGGCCGAGCCCGAGTCGGGGGAACGGGCCCGCGGAGACGAGGCAGCCCGAGCCTGTGTCCAGGGTCCGCGTCCTCACCCCCGGACCCTCCGTCCCCTCCGCTTTCCGCTGGGTCCTCGGCGGTCCTGACCTGCAGGCCACGGCCGGGAGGGTCGCGGGAGGCGGAGGACTGACCCCCGCTTTGTGCGTCAGTGGACAGAGGCCGGAGGAGGGGCCGTGACGTGGGGGCGGCATCTGCGCGTGGTCAGCTGGCCCGGGGGCCCGGGCGTGGGCCGGCCGAGCCACACCTGTGCACCCTCGGGGCCCCCCAGTATTCCTGCCCGCACACCCCACTTGAAGGCCGCACGGTGTAAACAAACAGGACCGCGTTGGTGCTGGGACGAGCTGGTGGCGCCCAGAAGCCTTGCACATGACACTGTGTCAGCCTCATAACCTACTTCCTCTCCTTCCCTCGTCGCATGGACCCGGGCATTGTATTACATAAACCTGGACATTTCATTACGTAGACCCATAGAACCGGGCCTTGCATTGATTCGCATAGACCCATAGACCCGGGCCTTGCATTGCACAGACCCTTAGACCCATGGACCCATAGACCCATGGACCCATAGACCCATAGAACCGGGCATTGCATTGCATGGACCCGTAGAACCGGGCATTGCATTGCATGGACCCATGGACCCGGGCATTGCATTGCACAGACCCATAGAACCTGACACTGCATTGCATCGCATCGCATAGATCCATGGACCCGGGCCTTGCATTGCACAGACCCATAGACCCATGAACCCAGGCATTGCATTGCATGGACCCATAGACCCATGGACCCGGGCATTGCGTCGCACAGACCCGTAGAACCGGGCATTGCATTGCATAGACCCATAGACCTGTGCATTTCAATGCATAGACCCATAGACCCGGTCATTGTTTCGCACAGACCCGTAGACCCAGGCATTGCATCGCATAGACCCGTAGACCTGGGCATTTCATTGCATAGAGCCATAGACCCGGTTATTGCATTGCATAGACCCTTAGGCAGGCATTTTCTTGCATAGACCCGGTTATTGCATTGCATAGACCCATAGGCAGGCATTTTCTTGCACAGACCTGGGCATTTGCTCCCTGCATTGCCAGCCCACTGCCTTCAATATTTTTCCATGGTGCATCCTCCACTGGGGGCTCATCACCAGCTCACGGGTCTATAAACATTCATAGTGCCCTCATGAATTGATAGTGGAGCCTGAATGTTTAGTGCATGAATTGACACTCTCCTTATGGCCTTTGTTCATTATGAGCTGACTGCTTAGAATGACTTTTCTAACTCATGTGTTCTGTTACCGAATGTTTAAAACCGGATCCATTTGTTGACCTAAAGTACAGGGGGTCTAAGCTTACAGATTAAAAATATCATTAAATCTTTGAAGCACTCGCAGAAGGGAAGGGTCGTGTCGGTGATCTTGAAATTTAGAATTTGGTAGAAAATCCACTGCCCTCAGGTCAGTCCAAGTCGTGACAACCCTCTGTCTGGTTTCTGAGGCTGTAAATCTTGTGAGAGGAGACTCCGTCTTGGTAGGTGGATTTGAACTCATCACCTTTTGGGTAGCCACCCAACACTAAGCACCATGCCACCGATGATCCTTAAGGCAGAAAAACAAGCCTTAAGACCCATGTGAAAGTGGTTTCTAACTCTACTAGGGTAAACCATCCCAAAGGTGGTTCGAATCCACCAACTGCTCCACAGAAGAAAGATGGGCAGTCTCCTCCTTGGTGGAGTCTGCAGCCTCTGGAAACGGCATCCAGGCAGCCTGGCTGGATGGAAAAGGGAGCTCTGATGACCTAGTCCTGAGCGAGCTGCTGCTCTGGAAGGAAAGTGAGCTTTCTCCTCCTGTTCAATTTACAGCCTACTGGATAGGAGCTGCACTCCCAAGCCAAAGATACGTGGTTGGCATCCACCGGCTGCTTGAGGGAGCAAAATGGGCAGTCTCCTCTCATGCGATTTATAATCTCTGGAAACTCATTGGAGAGTCAGCTATGAGTGGATTCTGATGCAGCAGCCCACAGGGACCCCGCAAGGGTTTTGAGTTGAGTTGTTGTTACTAGAAAGCACCTTTCTGGTGCAGTGGTTAAATGCTTGACTACTGGTGCTTAGAGAAGGACATCATGCTCAGAAGGGTGGAGGGACATCACAGGAGAAGACGACCCCGGATGAGATGGATTGAGATAGTAACGGGAGCAATGGGGGTAGTTGTGTTGGAGTCAGACTAGTTCAGGACAGGGAAGGGTTCAGAGCTGCTGTACATAGGATTGCTATGGGTCACAGGCGACTCGACAGCACATAACAACAACTTACAGAAAGATTGTCCACGTGGAAGAAAGCTGTCACCTTCCATGAAGATGACAGGGTTGGCAACCCTATAGAACAATACTGTTCTCTGCTGTGTGTCATAATCCACTGAAAGGGGTTTGATTTTTGTTACATTTACTAGATTTAGTGCTATGAATCATTGGTAGTCTTCACTGTTTTTATTTTCATTTTATTAAAATAAAAATTTTTACTGTATTTATATGAACGCAAGTAGTACCTTTTTATGCCCTTAAGTATTTAAACTAATTATTCTTCACTTTTTTAATATCTGTTCTTAATTCATTTGGGATTTTACTGATTAAACAGAAAGGTAGACTAATAGCCTAAATACTGGTACAGAAGTGGCAGTGATAGAACTTTCACTGGACTGGGCCAGCTTGTTCCCAGCTGCACCAGTTATATGTAACTTGAGGCAAATTGCTTTTTTCCCTCAGTAGAAATTGTAAGAATGTTTACCTACTTCAAAGGATTTTTAAAAAAATAGGTGAGTTAATAACTTATTCTTGGCACATACACTTTCCCCTTTCTTTACACAAGGATAAAGGATTGAGATAGATTGTTGTTTTGATTGTTTTCAAACACCCTGATATGTGGAAAGATTCCTGGTTATCTGTGTAGTAAACTACATGGTTACAGATTACATAAACTTCTTGTTTCTTGATACTTGATTAAATGTGTGAGGATGTGGATGTTAAAAATGAGCTTGGCACACTGCTAAATGAAAAGACATATGACATGTATTTTCTCAGCAAATAAGTCTTGGAGAAAGTGCAGCCAGGGTGCTCCTTAGAGCAGGGATGATGTCAGGAGAGGCCAGCCCTTGGGAAAAGGCATAATGCTGAGAAAGGTGGGGGGTTGGAGGGAGAGAATGGCCCCCATGAACACTGTCCAGAACAGCGGGCTCGAGCATGTTGGGAGGTCGGAGGGGAGCTCAGGATAGGGCAAGGTTTCCTTATTCAAGGTCGCCATGAGCTGTAATTGACTTGGCAGATGGCAGCTGACAAGTTTCCTACATGATTGTGTAGAATTATGCTTGTAGAAGATCTTGGTCATTTTATATGTACTGGGCCTGTACACATTTTTCAAAGTCTCCAAAGAGAGAGTGTTCCTGTGAAGCCTTTTTTATCTCCATTATAAAGCCCCCCCGCCCTGCCCCAAAACCTTAAATAAGCTGAAATGATGTAAAATGAAGAAGCAGTTACTGAATGTATATGGGGAAAGCTTTTAACTTTCCTAGACCCCACAAATAACCTACCACATCAGACCAAATGACACATAAAACCTGAAATAACACTAACATACAGTGAAGGCAGGGATTGACAGGTAGGCTGTATAACTTAGAAAAAGTGTCTGTACACAGTATTTCCAGGGACAAATACACAGCTTGTATGCTTTGAGTGTGTACTGGTTCTTTACCACCTTGGTGCAAAAACAAACAGTGAACATTAATTTTAGTTTTCTTTTTTTGCATAAAAGTAAATACTCTCTTCAGTTTCTTTCTGTTTGTGAAAACAGGTGATATCAGATCTTTTATCAAAGCGTGTTGAACACTGTTTTGAAGATAGCTTCATATTAATAAACAAGCAAAGGAACACAAAATCAGACATAACAGCATTTTCCATTTTCAGGAAATAATGCCCATAATTTTTATGTTTTCAAGAGGTTAATTAGAGGTAATATTAACTGCTTTTGTTGTGGGAAGTATTTTCAAATTTGTTATGTAATGTTTAAAGAATTTAAAAGAAGATTGGAGCTTTCTAATTCTACACAGTCTGACAAACTTAGCACAGTATCCTATAAAATTAGTCTCTTTTTTCCTACCCCTAGAAAATCAGATACTCCTTTAGGGGGGAAAAGCAATTATTATGATGAAGTTCAGAGTTTTTTAGTTGGTGAAAGGATTCCATTGTAAAACTTACTAGGCTCTGCATTGTCAACTCAGTTTCCTTTTGTTTGTTATTTGATGTTTCATGTTTGGAAAATTATTTTTATGTTTTAATTAGATTTGAATTGACTTTGAAATATATTTGTATTTTGGGCAGGGAAATAACTGGTACAAGCAAACAATTTCAGGGTTAAAAAACCCAAAACACAACATTAATTGCTTTTGTTTTTTTCTACTGTAACATAAGGAAGCTCTGGTGTAGTCTCTCAGAGTTGTGCAGCTAACAGAAAGAAAGGCTGCATTTCTCTGGCAGTTCAAGTCCACCACCGGACCCTCAGAAGAAAGATAGGTAATCTCTTGCCGTGTGATTTACACCTCTGAAACCCAGTGGGAGGTTGAGTCTTGAGGCAGTTTTGACTCAGCTGCTGTGAGAGAGAAGTATAGTTTCAGATTCTGGTGTCGCATCAAAATCTAACCTAAGAAGTACTTAGTCACCTTCCATTCTTGGATTCATTTTCCTGGTATCTGAAAATCAGAGGTAAGGTACGTTGTTTGTTGACATAAAATTCTCATGATTGAGGTTCTCAAATGAGAGTAATCTCAATCCAAATTCATGAAAAATTTTAAAACAACAGATTTTATAACTTCATGAAGTAACTACATATAGGCTAACAAAGTACTTTTTCCTAGAAGATTTTATTTAGAATCCTGCATTTTAAAATTGGGAGAGAGAAAAAAAAATTTAAGGTGGTAAAATGCATATGTGTGTGTGTGTGTGTGTGTGTGTGTGTGTGTCTCTCTCTCTCTCTCTCTCTCTCTCTCTCTCTCTCTCTCTATCTCTCTATCCCAAAGACCCAAACCGGACATACCGCCACTGAGTCACTGCATTTCAAGGCAGCCCTCCCTCAGGTTCCAAGGCTCTAAATTTGGTGGAAGGCAACTATCTCATCTTAGTCCGTGGATGAGATGTTGGGTTTGAACTTACCGTTTGGCTGGTAGCTGAACACATTCTGCACTGTACTACAGTGACATTGAGTTCAAGTACCACTGTCAACACTCCCAAAGTATTCTACAACCATTAACTGAAACCATCCTTCGATTAAATTGGGAACCAAGCCGTAACTGAGCCTCCTGGTGAGTTTCCAAAGGCAGGAGAGAGGCAAAGAGATTGCCTAGCTGTTCCTTTCAGAGCAGGTGGTGGATTCAAACTGTTTAGCTGTAGCTTTGTGTTGACAGTGCTTTTTCTTACCACAAGGCCACCAGAGTGCTCCCTGTTGAGTTAAATGCCACTTAGAGCAACCCTGTGACCAGCAGATCTGAACCCTGCCCTCTCCTGGGCCATCCTCAGTATCTCTGAGGCTTGAGCTCATTGCTGCAGTCACCGTGTCAGGTCATCTTATTAGGAGTCCTCCTCTCTTTTTCTGATTTTGTGCTTTTCCAAGCTTGATACCCCTTTCCAAGGAATAGCTTCTCCCAGCAACATGCCAGAGTATGAGAGACGAAGCTTCATGGGCCTTCCTTCCAAGGAGCTGTCTGGCTGCACATTTGCCAAGACACACCTGTTCATTCTTTGGCTGCCCATGGGATAGTTCTCTTCTCTACACCACAACCCAAATATTCTTTTAGAGAATTTGAAGAATTCCTCTAAGCCAGAAATTCTGTGAAGTTGAAGTCTTGACTTGAGTGCTGTCAGTTGATCCTACCATGTGTTTTATAGAGTAAAACTGCACCATAGCGTTTTTTGGTCATAGTCTCAACAGAAGCAGATCCCTAGGTCTGTCTGCAGCAGCATTAGTCCCAGTACTGAGTTCAAACTACCAACTTCGAGGTTTAGCAGTTGTGCACAAACCATTTGTTCTACCTCAAGACCCTGTCTTAGGCTTGATCTACTTTTCTTAAAAGTTCTATTAAAATGTTGTTGCTGTTATGTGCTATCTAGTCACCTGCAACTTACAGAGACCCTGGGTTCAACAGCCCTAAACCCTGTTCTATCCTTTGATAATCTTATCTTCTCTGAGACACCTACCCCCATCATGCCAGTCACTGAATTCAATCCACCTCATCAAAGGTCTTCCTCTCCTGCACTGTTCCTCCACCCTCCCAAGCATGACGTCCCTCTCCAAGGACTGGTCCCTCTTTGCAACATGTCCCAAGCATGTCAGATGAAGCTTCAGAATCCTTGCCTCCCATGAGCAGCCTGGTCTCACCCTCTCTAGGATGAACCTGTTTGTTCTCCTAGCAGTCCATGGTATATTCAACACTCTTCTCTGTCACCACAGCTCAAATACTGGTGCAAATACATAATTTGAAACTGTAGCCCTATTTGTCATATTCTAAAGTTAAAATACTGTTTGCCAAACAATTTTCAGTTGTCTTCACCAATGTTTTTATTTAAATAATTGTAGATTGTGAGTTGCCACAGAAAAATCTTAATATTTTAGTTTTTCTTTAAAGAAAGACATTCTATCTTCAAAACATACTTTTTTTCCCCCTTCTTGTTGTGTACCATCTAATTTGATCAGACTGGCACAGGAGGAGATTGCCCCTCCTTCTCCAGCGGAGCATCTGTTGGCTTTGAATCCCACACTTTAGGGATTGCAGTGCAGCTTCTTGCCACAAGGCCACCAGAGCTTCCTAAAACTTGCTCTTAAGGTCCTTCCTTCTATTTCATTTAAGATCATTCTCTGAGCTAAAAAGTTCTCTTTGAGGATTTTCTGTTTTCTTCTTTTTTGATAGGTGATACCTTTCCCAAATGGCCAGTACTTCTTGTTAGAAGGCTTTTATAATGAAGAAAATATTTCAAACAATGGTGCACATCAAAAGTGAAAATAGAAAAGAAGCAGTATAGTCCAAATAGGAAGAAGGTACAACTGTTTTATACAGCTCTGGTCAGCTTATTGCAAGAAGCAAGGAGAGTGAGGATGACCCGGAAGGATTTCCTTTAAAACCACCTTCCTTTGATCATGTTCTTGACACCTTAAAACAATCTTTTTGGCTCTAAAGACTCAGTAGATACACAGATCAAGTAATTTTTATTACAGTTCTTTTACAGTGTGGTTAAGTGTTTCTTAATATTTCACAAAGGAAAATAAAAACTTTTTAGGCAATGGGACTAAGGAAGTTTCCTTTTTTTTAACTAATAATAGCTTGGTGGGAACTCACTGCCCATCCTTTACTAATCACAATTTCATTACTAATTACTGATCAGATTATTGATCCTTTAAAAAAGTATGAGGAATAAGTAAATTTGTATATAACTGGGAGAGATTATCTAATCCCATGTTTTTGGGGACTCTTGCTTATTTAGTAGTATCTTTACTAAATTCTGAGAAAGAGTTTAGTAAACTTGATCTTGTTAAAATGTTATATAAAAGTTTTGTGAGTTTGTATAATATCAGATTCCTTAATATGCAATGAACTTGCACTGTTTTTCCTAATATGAAATCAGATTTTACATATGAGACATCTGTTTAATAATAAATAAATTAGTACATTCAATAAATGATGTCATTTACTAGTAAGAGTATAAAATGTTACTCCTAAAGTTGGTATTAATTTTTTTTCTCTGAATTACCTTTCTCCCAGATTGCCTTTTTCTCATTAAACTCTTTCTTCCAGTCCACAGTCTAGTGGATCTGGCATTTTTTACTTTTATTTTCTCTTTTTCCTTGCGTCATATATCTTCTGTCTTAGAATTGTTTTGAATATCAGTATTTATTTCTCATTCATATTACTAACACATGTATGACAACACACATCACTTAGAAATACAACAAAAGTCTTTTATAATTAATCTTAGTGTCTTTCTGCTACTCACAGGGTAAAGGTGAAATTTCTCAGCCTGTGACATGAGACCAGGTAGCGTTTTCTTTTGTCTGTGAGTCGGGACCATCAGCAAGCAACTATACATATTTAGCATGATTCAAGCCAGTATTTTTGTTACAGTAGTTTAGTGTTACAAAACAACTTTTTAATGTATACACATAGAAAATACACAAATTTGGGCTACCATGCCTACATTTTCTTTATTATATAGAGGAGGAGAATAAGTAAGTACTCCGGAGAAATTGTCTTGTCAGAGGTTCAGAATAAAAGGGAGTAATTTAAGGTAAAAGAAGACCTTAATCTGAAGATTGTTAAGAAAGTAAAAAATAAAAAGGAATGGTTGGTAGGAAAGAAGAGTTCTAGTGGTACATGAAGGAAGCAGAAATCCTCACCACTGACGGGCCAGTGGACAACATCATGACAGATGGAGAAAAGACTCAGTAACTTCATTTTACTGGAATCTGTAATTAACGCCCTTGGTAACAGTAGTCAAGAAATCAAAAGACATGTTGCATTGAGAAAATTTACTATCAAGGACTTCTCCAAAGTGTTTAACAGCAGTTTGAAGACTAAGGTGTATCTGATTCAAGCATTGAATAAGGATGACAGAAGAATTAATGTCTTTGTATTGTGGTGTTGACTTTCGAAAGACCAAGTCTTGTTTGGAAGTATGACCAAGATGCTCCTTAGTGGCAAGGAAGGTGAAACTTTGTTCTACGTACTTTGGGCATGTTGTTAGGACACGTTTAGGCCTTGAGAGACGATCTGATGCTTGGAGAGGCAGAGAGTCAGAGGAAGAAAGGCTCCACAAGGAGATGGAGTGACGGAGTGACTTGAACAGGAACCTGTCAGAGCTGGTGCAATGGCACGAGGCAGGTCAGAGTTCAGCTCTGTTCTAAAGTGGTGGACTGGGTGGCACCCTGGCAACAAGAGTGGCACATGGTTGAAGCATTCAACTGCTAATTGAAAGGTCAGCGTTTTGAATTCACAGTCGGCTTCTGTGAAGAATGCAGCCTTGGAAGCCATATGAGCAGCTCCTCTCTGGTCTGTAGGGCCATTGTGTGTCTACTTGATGGCAGTGGTTAGCGGTCGGTCTGTGAGAAAAGAAACAAGAATTAAAGGAGCCTTTTAACAATAACTCTATTATAACTCATTGCCAGTAATTAGTTCTGCAATTAAGATTCTATTTTTTCCTGCCTTTTCCCCCCCTTTTACCTCACCAAGTTAAAGAAATAGGACCGGGGGCGGGGTGGGGGAGGGCGAGAAGAAAGATGAGGATGCTGGCTCAGAGAGTTTCTGGGGTTTACGATCACAGATGGACAGAAAGACCAAGACTGGAGCACCTCCTATATTTGTTCCTACTGGCTGCCACACTTGAGAGCTACATTTAGTTAATTTGCGAACTCTCGCTGTTATTCATTGCTTAGGCTACATAGCTTTTGTGTTGTTGTTGAGTACCATCAAGTTGGAATCTACTCCTAGCTGACCTCCCGTGGGTTTTCAGAGGCAGTGAATCAAGGTGATTGCCTGCCTTTTTCCTTTGGGCAGCAGGTGGAATCAAACAGCATACCTTTCCTTACCACCAGAGCTACCAGGCGTAGCTGTTGTTATTTCAGTTATTTATGGTACCTGCTTCTACTTGGACTTTTGAGTACTTTTGACAACTTCTTGCCTATTTAATTATTGCTTAGTAAAGAGTGAAGGTAAACTAGTACAGAGTAGTTATTTACAATCCTGGAAAAGCAATTGAAAATAATTGTCATGGAGCTAAGGAGAAGTGGACAGGCTTTGGCCTAGCATTTTCTATTTGAAAAGTACACAATTTAATTCCATATCCTTTCGTGCGAATTTATTATTCAGCCTGTTCCAGAGAAAGCTTACAAGTAAGACCTAAACGAGAAGAGGTTTATAGAACAAACTAATAAATTCTTTTTTCAGTGCATGAATTTCTCAGGTAAATGATTACACTAAATTAATATTCTTATTTTGCAGGAAGTTGGTGAACCATCTAAAGAAGAAAAAGCTGTTGCCAAGTATCTTCGATTCAACTGTCCAACAAAGTCTACCAATATGATGGGTCATAGAGTTGATTATTTTATTGGTATGATTACTTATAGCAGTAAAATTATAAGTATATATCTAATGAAGATACTTAAATATTTTTATAGTACTTTTTAAGATAAATGTTGAAGCCAGAAAATTGGCATGTGATGATGATCATACTATTATAATGACTGAAAAGCTCTGAATAAAAAAATACACATTTTTTCCAGTAACATATGTTTATTTTTGTTAATACGACTTATTTCCACTGATACAGTACCTTTGTTCAAATAGTAAACATAAACATACTTAAGGGTTAATCTTTATTAAACTCGGGTAAAATTCAGTGCAAAACTACAATTTGGTCCTTTGGAATGGACTTAGGAACTTTGGGTTTTCAAGAGTACCTCATTGTAAGCTGATATCTTCAATAATAGAGTTCCATAGTTTAAATATTGGTTAGATTGGCCTTTCTCATCCATTAAAATTGAATTGTAATTGTAGAAAAGAAATTCCTTTATTTTCTCTTTAGTGTTAGTATTGGTTTGTTATGCATTTTTAAAATGAAGACCTATGTCGCTCACTTTCTTCAGGTCTAATTCAATTAGTGACTTCTAGTAACAACAGTTAAAAAAAACTCATAGCAAAAACTTCATGGTCTGCGAGAAGAAGAAACAGATAGGTCTTGCAGAAAGTACAGCCAGGGGGCTTGTTGGAGGAAAGGATGGTGAAGCTTGGTGCTCCCTACTTTGGGCATGTTGCTAGGAAAGGATGTTCCTTGGAGCCTCCATGAGAGATGAAGAGGAAGGCATCGGATAGGACAGAGCTCAGATCTCTTGCTCGTAGGGTTGCCGTGAGTGAGTCGTACTCAACAGTATTAGACCTAAAGAGAATGAACAGTAAGGAGCTGTGCTGTCAACCCAAAGGCGCGTGGTTGGAATCCACTGTGTGCTCTGTGGAAGAAAGGTGAGCAGTCTCCTGTGCGATTTACTACTTCTGGAAACCCACTGGAGGGTGAGCGATGAGTCTAGTCCAGTTCAGAGGCACTAAACAGTAACAACAAAGCAGTAACAGCAGTAGGAAGCTCTGGCATTGTACCCAATATATCAGTCTGCTAACCCAAAAGTTAGTGGTTTGTTTGGGCTAGTTACTTCTGGGGAGAAAGACGGACAGTCTCCTTGTGTAAAAACGTACAGCCTCGGGAACCCAGTAGAGAGTTGGCCGTGAGCTGGAATTGATTGCAGTTGGTAATAACAGCAGTAAGGAGCCTTTGTGCCTCAGTAGTCAGGAGCACAGCTCCATCTAGGCTCCTGTGATGAAAGATAAAGACCATCCAAAAGATCACTGTCTAGAAAATGCTGTGGAAATACTGCTCTGACATACGGAACTGCTCTGACGTTAATATTTGTGAATGCCCATAATTACTTGGAAAACATCCTTCTCAGTATTTCAATGTTTTATATTTTTATGTTAGTAATTTTTTACTTTCTTGCAAAAATTTGGCTTATTTATAGTGCCTACAATGTCAATATTTGCTATATGTAATTTGAGTTTTATAGACATTAATTTCCAATATGCTAAATTTAAGATAATATCTTTTTAGCTTCAAAAGCAGTGGATTGCCTTTTGGATTCAAAGTGGGCAAAGGCCAAGAAAGGAGAAGAAGCCTTATTTACAACCCGAGAGTCTGTGGTTGACTACTGCAACAGGTAGTGTTTATGTACTCGTGAAAGGATGATGCAGCCAGAAATTGTAGAATGCATTTTACCTAATCGAAAGTTACTTATTAAATTTAATCATGTTGCAGTAGGGCTTAGGCATGGTTTCAGTCTGTAACGTGTAATTTTTCTGTGTCTCTGGGTTTGTTTGTTTTGTGTTTTTTTAATTATTTTCTTTTTTAACTATAGTTTTTATTTTTCCATTCTGTTCCCTTTGATTTGAGCTCTGGTGGTGGAGTATATAGAGTTACACTGCTAATCCAGAGTTACCACTTTTGACTGTTCGAATCTCAGGGGGAGAAAAGATGGGTCATTTCCTCCATTGCTATTTATGCCTTGGAAAGCTCACTTGAAGGTCAGCTGTTCATCCGTTCCAGTTCAACAGCAGTGAAGATTCTTTTATATTTGTATGTGTTACGAGGCCGACAGTCAAAAACCATTAGAATTTCCTGAATATAAACAGTAAAAATCAAATCATGGGCAAGAGTTCTTTTCTAGGACAAATTATTTAGAAGTCCTTTTTTTGACAGAGATTCTAAGTAACTGCTGTTTATGGATTTTTAGTGGCTATTCCCTAAGCCGTTTGGCAGTACTCTTCTTGATTTGCTTGTTTAATGATTGTTAATGCACTAACTCTTTGTAAAATCAAGATAACTGCATCTACCTTACTTTGTCTTGAGGATTCCAAAAGGAAGTAGAGACAATTCAGTAAAACAGACATGATTTTCTTTAATAGGTACTCATCTTTGTGGAAACCTTAGTGAAAGAAATGCTTCAACTTTATTTTTTCTTAAAAAATCACTTTCTTGGAAAGAACTATGCTGATTTTTTTTTTTAATTTCTATACTTTCTCCTTGGCTAACTTGTTGTTATTGTTGTTATATGCCGTCAAGTCACCTACGACTCTATATACAGCAGCTCTGAACCCTGTGCTGTCCTGAGCCAGTCTCACTAATTCTGACACACCAACCCCCATTGCACCAGTCAGTATTAGTCCATCTCATCCAGGGTCTCCCTCTTCTGCGCTGTCCCTCCACCCTTTCAAGCATGATGTCCTTTTCCAAGGACCAGTAATCTCTCCTGGCCATCTGGCCATGTTCCCAAAGCACGTGAGATGAAGCTTCAAAATCCTAGCCTCCAAGGAGAAACTTGGTTTCACCTTCTCCAAGACAGACCTGTTTGCTCTCTTGGCAGTGCATGGTATGTTCAAGACTCTTCTCCAGCACCACAACTCGAAGGCATCTATTCTTCTGTCATTCTTAGTCATTGTCTTGCTCTCTGATGAATAGCAAGTAATTGTGACGGCCACAGCCTCGATTAGGCACACGTTAGTCTCTAGACTGACATTTAAATAAATACATATATTAATATATGTTAATTTTGTTTTCTTGATCATAACGCTTAAATTAAGTGAGAATATATTTGGGAGATACACACACATTGATTTACTAATATTTAAAGTATCTCAGTCAGAAAACCTCACAATCACTGTCGCACACCTCACGTCTTAGTTTTGAGTACCAAAGACCAGAATCACAGACAGGCCTTTGAGAGCATAAGTTTCATTGTTAGAGAATGGTACTGTGGTACAGTCAACATTTACCATCCTTTACAGCAGTTTATAGCGTTAGAATGACTCTGAAGTGCATACTTCTTCCTGACTGCCTCAAAATAGATTTAATTGTTTGGGGGTTTTTTATTAAATAAAAAAAAAGTTAAATTTTTATTTTATATTGGTTTGCTTACAAAGTTGGTATACATTGTGTTACACACGATCCTTCATTCACATTGTATGTCATAGAATCATTAAGACGTAGTTTCATGCATCATGTATAAATTAATAGAGACAACAGATGCAGAAACTGAGGCACAGAGAAGTTCAGAATCTTGCCTGCAGCCTGTGCCCAGGTAACAGAGGAAGTGAGTGGCTGGCAGAACCAAGAGTTTAAATCTGTCAGTCTGTCTTCCTAGTCCTTGCCTTTAACCACCTACTCCACACAGTCATAAATGTGCATTAAAGTAAAGAAGCACAAGTGTTAAGCGTATCTTCTGGGATAGCCACATAGGCCCACTGGTGGCCTGCCCAGGGGAGGCTCTGCCCAGCCACACACAACCCCAGCCGTTTTCTTAAGCTGCTGAGTGGGCTGGAGGGAGTTTCTGGAAAAACAAAAGAAAACGTACAGTGCTACCCAAACACTGTTTCTTTGTCTAGAAGTAAATGTCTTCCGTGTCTAGATGTAAAACTCAACTTTTACTGTCTGTTTTTATGGCTTATTTCAAGTGCAGCTTTTTCAATCTTTAATCTTAACCATCCTGTTCTCTCTGATTCCACGTCACAACCGCAGTCCAGTAGTGTCCTCCCTCATGCGGATACCGCACTTAACCTCTCATCTAGCCTTTCTGTGATCATAATTTGACGCTTCCCCTGAGTGGTGCTTTTATCTTCTCTTAAATAATAAGAACACATCCCTCAAGTTCCACTTCTACCAGGTCCCCCAGCTCAAATTAATCTCTATGGATATAATTCCACTAGATTTCTGTAGTTTATATTCCTCAATTAGACCTTGCACTATTTTAGAGTTATTTTGTCTAATTTTTCCAGCTAAATCGGAAAGCTTTTTGTAGGACTGTTACATACTTTGTTATTTCACAACAGTTAACATTATGTGGTCTCTTAAGGGAAACTTAGCATTGCCATATATGTGAAATCTTTAGCACATGTCTACTAGTTTATAACTGGTTCTTAAACTTAAAAAGAAAATTAAGTGTTGAATAAAAGTATAGATAAAATTTAATGATTTAAGCAGTTTCTCAATTTATTCAACAATCAAATCTAGTATCTGCTATATTCCAGACCCCAGGAATACCAGGATGACTACAACTTGACTTTTCTCCCAAAGCTCATTCTGTTCTATTGGGGAAGGCAGACAGAATGAATTACAGTGGAGAACCTTTCACAGCCATGCGGGAGGTGTAACAGATGCAAAGCTCCTAGCACTGGATATACTGCTGGATCTGCTTGTAAAGGAAGAGATATTTGTTTTCTGCCCCTTTCAAGAGGTTCTATGACTTTACAAAATTATTCCTTTATTAAAAATACTGGGTTTTTTCAATAGGATAAATGAAGTTCTAGAGATACAGAAAGTTGTATTTAGAAATCCAGACCTTAGTAATGTTGCCTCATAATAACCACAATTTTTTTTATATAGAAATATATATAGAGAGAGAAGTAGATATTTGACAGTATATGCTTGACATATCTCTAGCTTTTTTAGCTTCATATATTGTTGTTTGTTGATTGCCATTGAATCAAATACAACTCATAGCGACCCAATGAACAAGAGACCTGAAGCCTTTCTGTAACTATAATCATTTATCGAAGTTCATAGAGTTTCCAGAGATATTTTGTTTAGGAAGTGGATGCCACTCCTGCTTCCAAGAACAATGACTTAGGATGGCAGGAAAAGAATCTATGCCTTTGAGTTGTGCTAGAGAAGAGCACTGTACATGCCGTGGACTGCCAAGAGAACAGGTCTGTCCTGGAGAGAGTGAAACAGGCTGCTCTTTGGAGGCAAGGATTTTGAGGCTCTGTCTCACATACTTTGGGCATGTGTCCAAAGAGGGATCAGTCTTTGGAGAAGGACATAATGCCACAGAGGAGTGGAGGGACTGCGCAGGAGAAGACAACCTGGATGAGATAGATTGGCTCAAGAACTAGAATAATGAGCGTAGTTGTGTCAGACACTGACTGGCTCAGGACAGAGCAGGGTTCAGAGCTGTTGTGCATAGGATCACTACGATTTGCTCAGGATAGGGCAGAGTTCAGAGCTATTATACATTAGGTCACTAAGAGTTGCAGGCGACTCGATAACACATAACAATCCATGCAATTTATTTTGGTTTTGGAATATTTTATTGAGCTTTAGATGAAAGTTGACTAGCAAGTTAAATTTCTGTTCAATGCGTCACATAGATTGTTCTGTGACATTGGTTGCTATTCAGTGTGCCAGCACTCACCATGTTCCTGTTTGGTGTTTCTCATTTCCATTGGTGTGGTTCCCTACCTTCTATTCTTTGCTTTGGGAACATATTATTCTTTGGGTCCTGTATAGTTGATTGTTCCAAAGAGCACATTCAAACTGCTTAAATCATTAAATTTTATCTATTCTTTTATTCAACACTTAATTTTTTGTTCATTTTACTTGGCTAAGAGTTCCAAGATAGAAGGTTGTCTTAGTGCTGTAGTCTTGGAGTTTCTCCAGCCCCATCACCTGAATTAGATGTCTTCTATCTTCTTAGGTACCATCAAACAGAACCAATTCATAGCTGACCCTCCAGTGAGTTTTCAGAGGCAGTGTGGTGGGAAGAGATTACTTACTATTTTCTCACTGGAGCAGCTGGTGAATTTGTGTGCTTTGAGTTAGCAGTACAACGCCACACCACTAAACCACCAGAGCTCACCCTCACCCTCTAACCCCTGCTAACCATAAAAAAAAAGAATGTTCTGCTTGTGAATCTGTTCTTGATTTTTTTGTAATAAGGACCTCATATAATACTTGTCCTTTTGTCAGTTTTCCCCCATGACTTACTGTTGTTCTGCATTCGTTCAGGTTGTGAAATAGTTCAAAGCCTCATCATTCTTTATTGTTGTGTAGTGGTCCACTGTGTGCATACACCACAGTTTATCTGTTCTTGGTTAGGTATTTGGTGGTTTCTGTCTTTTTGCTACTGTGATTAAAGCTGCAGTGAATATAGCTGTGCATATTTTATCATTTACTCCCTGTCACAGTTCTTATTTCTAGACTGTTTATCAGGGAGTGAGACTGTTGAATCATACGGTATTTCTACATCTAGCTTTTTAAGGAATCATCATACCTTACTCTGTTTCACATCCCACCAGCAATGTGTGAAAGTTCTCAAGAGAGTTCTTGAGTCGCTCAAGATCTTTGCAACGTTTCTTTGTTTTACTGGGACTTACTGTTTTGTTTTCTCATTGCTATTACTTCCAAGAAGTAGTGACTTTTGTAGTTTGGGTTTGCATTTCTTCAGTGAGAGATGCAAAATTTGGCGGTTTTTTGGGGGTTTTTGTATTTTTATTATAAGTTGAATGGCTAATAGTCACAAGCTTTTCCTAGGTTTTTTTTCTCAATTACCTTCCTCTCAGTTCTGAGTCATAGCTGACCCTCCATAGATTTAGTGAGGCTATAAATTTCCCAGAAAAAGATTGGTCATCTTTCTCCCGTGGTGCCACTGGTCAGTTCAAACTGCCAGACAGACGTTGTTCGGTTAGCAGCACCGGCGTACCATTTTTAGTCACCTGACTGTTGTCTTACCAAGTCTCTATTCCTGTACTTACCCCATTTAGGGGGAGCTCTGCTGGCCTAGTGGTAAGGAACTGTGCTGCCAACCCAGAAGCACAGAGTTCAAATCCGCCAGCTGCTCCATGGGAGAAAGATGGGAAGTCTCCTCCCATTTGATTGACTGCCTCTGAGAACAAGGTCAGCTGTGGTTGGATCCATAACAACATTGCCCATGTTGTAGTTGTAGTTTTTGTCTTTTTATTGTTGAAGTATTGAAGTACTTTGCATTTTAAAGATTAAGTACTTGTCAGATACATTTTTACCAGAATTTTTTCTGTTGGCTCTGTTTTTTTACTCTTTTGGCGTAGTCTTTGGTCGTTTTGTTTAATGATGATGTTAGTCAGGTTGACTCATGGTGACACCATGAACAACAGATCTAAACTTTGCCCTATCTTGAGTTATCCTTTCGATCTCTGATAATGCTCTAGACCCTTATTACAGTCACTGTGTCAGTCTGTCCAAGGGGCAGTTTCTGACCTTGCTCGTTTTCCAGGATGATGTATTTTTCCTAGGACTGGTTCCTCTTGACAGCATGTTCAAAAGGTGTAAGACTAAGTTTCATGATTCTTGCCCATGCAGTACATTGCAGCCCCTAGTTTTGCCCCACTCCAAAAGGACCTCCGGTGGCTTAAGTGGTAAGTGCTGCTGCTGCTGACCCAAAGGCATGTGGTTCAAATCCGCCATCTGCTCCATGGGAATAAAGATGGGCATTACTCTCTTTCTGTGCAATTTACTGCCCCTGAAAACCTGCTGGAGGATCAGTTATGAGTCTCTTCTAAGTTGATGATAGACAACAACAGGCTTTGTCCCCATATTTTCTTGCATGAACTTTATAGTTTTAGGGTTAACATTGAGATCTTTGGTTCATTTTTACATGTGGATCTTATTGCATTTTTCTGGAGGTGGCTCTCTGGTTTTGTCAGCATTCTTAGTTAAAAGAGATTATCTTGGCTCCATTTATTTGTCTTCGGTCCTTCATTGAGGATTAGCTGCCAATAGCTGGATAAATTTCTTCTGAATTCTCGATTCTATTCCATTGGTCTTTATGTCTGTCAGTTCACCAGGACCAGGCTGTATTGAGTACCATGTTGATGTGGAAGGTTCAGTAATGCTTTAGCTATCAGTTTGGCTGGATATATCAGGGCTTTATCATCACACTGCATTCTTGCCTGTATAACTCTGCAGTTAGTCTTATTAGTGCTCCTTTGCAAGTGATAATTCCTTTTTCATGGGCTGTTCTTTTTCCTGTGTAAGGGTTTGGGTAAATTCTGTTATGATCTCTCAAGGTGGTATTCTTTTGTTGTCTGTTCTGTTTATAGTTCATTGAGCTTCATAGATTTCTTTGTCATCTTGCATGATATCAGGGAAGTTTTCTGTCAATTATTGTTAGGTGCTGTTGAGTTGAGGATGACATACAGCGATCCTAAGAAGAGATCTGAACTGTGTCCTATCCTGAGCCATCGTCATCATCTTTGACATCTTTGAGCCCATTACTGCAGTCACTGTCTGGCCTTCTCCAGATTGTTTCAATTCAGTGCTTCCTCCCTCTTCCTAAATTTCAGTTATGCATAAATATTTCCTTTTGAAAGTTCCCTACATAGACTCTCTTCATTTTTCAATTTAGTTTTTCTGATTGTTCCTCAAGTTGTTGTTAGGTGCCATTGAATTGAGTATGACCCATAGTGACCTTATGAACAACACATCTCAGCCTTGTCCTATCCTGTACTGTCCTCACACTTCTGACCGTGAGAACACTCACTGTGTTAGTGTCATGGAATTTCATCTGTTTCACTACTTCTTGCTTTTATTGCTTCTGTTCTACTTTTGTGCCCCCTCCATTGGCTTAACTGTTTTTTATATTTTCTAGTTAAATCTTCTCTATTTCTAGTTACGTTTTTGTGTAGTGTCTGATTGTCTGTTTTTTAACTTTTTATTTCGATTTAAGTGGAATTTTATAAGCAATCAGTTCTCCATTCAACCACTTGTACACATTTTATTTTACTTCAGTATTGTACCATGAATTTACTGTCCCATTATCTTCTGCCTCCTTCACAGTCTTTTTCAAAACTCAGCTGAGATCCTTTCTTTTCCAGAAATCCCACATTAGAGATTAGAATGCATGGGTGGTTCAGTGGTAGAATTCCCACTTGTCAGAATGTTCCTGAAGGAAAGAGGGCCAGAGATTGTAAGGATGCTGTAGTGAGGAAGTGTTTCCTTTCCTACTTCTGAAAGAAGCCGAAGGCAAGAATGTGAAGATACACCCTAGACACCTGAATAGTGAGAAGGCTGGTCACTTCTCTACTCCCTGTTTGGTGAAACTAAGGTTCAGGGGAAAAATTTAAAGGGAAGAACTTACTAATATCTTTTCTTGTTGCCATGGATAAAAACCCCATTGTGGATAGGTAATGTGAAATCACACCTCTAAAGAAACTGGAAATAATGCATTCAAAATGTTTCTTAAAGCTAAGAGTTATAAGTGTATATGAGTAAATTGGGTGCTACTTTTATAGTAGATTATGATGGTAGACATAAATTCCAGAAGTTCTGAGTTTTTAATTTGTAAAGCAAATACAACAATTATACAGACTGCTTTGACTACAGAAAATAAGAATCTATATGTTATTACCTTGATATAGTCCCAGTATTGATTTGTTTGTATACAATCATTCTTAAAGTTTCATTTCCATCTTTTTTAGGCATGCTTTTAATATTTCCTGTAAGTTCATGCCCTTTTTTGTCTTAATTTCAATAACTATATTTTGTGTTTTCCTTCTAATTAAAAAGTTGGTTGCTTAAAGTATAAGCATTCTTAAAACTTACACATATTGATACTTCCATTGAAGAAGTGATAATTTATGTCGATAGCAGTTAATGCATACAAAAGTCAAGTTTATGCTAACCTAATTAACATGAGGAGAGCATGTGAGTTCAGGAAAAAGAGGAGTGTCTTACTCAGGATTTTTTTTTTTAAATAGTATGGTTAATAATTTTTTTCCATGAACTTACTGTTGTTTTTTCCTAATTTGTAAACTTGATGAATATATGGTGTTTGTTCCTTTTGTTTTCAAGGCTGTTAAAGAAGCAGTTTTTTCATCGGGCTTTGAAAGTAATGAAAATGAAGTATGATAAAGATGTAAAGAAAGAAAAAGAGAAAGGGAAAACTGAGAGTGGAAAAGAAGAAGATAAGAAGAGCAAGAAAGAAAATGTCAAGGATGAAAAGATGAAGAAGGAGAAAGAGAAGAAGAAGGATGGTGAAAAGGAAGAATCCAAGAAGGTGTGTTCAACTTAAGCTAAAGTCAAAGAGTATTACATATGGATGATAGGATTAGCATAGAAGGATGTTTAAACCATGCTTGAAAATGTGGAAGGTCAGCAAAAGAGAGGAGAACCTTCCATGAGGTGGACTGTAACAGTGGACTTAAGCATATCAGAGAGAATGCAGGCGGCACAGGAGAGGGCAGGGAGATCCACTTTTCAGGGGAAACTGTGAGTCATAGTCAACTCAGCACCTAACAATAACAACGTTTTTAAAGTTTGGCAAGAACAATTTGAGTTAAACATATGGAGGATTAATACAAAAGCGATGGTTGAGAATTTTCATTTTTGTGTCAGGTGTTGTTATGAGACCTTTAACTGTATGAATGTCCAGTTTTTGATTATTTGTGTATTTTCTTCAAGGTAATTTCTTTTGTTTTCATAGGAAGAAACTCCAGGAACTCCCAAAAAAAAGGAAACTAAGAAAAAATTCAAGCTTGAACCGCATGATGATCAAGTTTTTCTAGATGGAAATGAGGTGAGAATATATCACTTATATTTAGAAAAGCAGATTCCAGTAGAAGTTGTAAGCATTGTTTCCTTGTTTTCACTGAGAAATAATTAATGTGAATTAACCGTGCACATAACTATGTGAAAGCTACTCTGCTTTTAAAAAATAGTAATTTCTTTAAATTTAAATTTAAATTTTGTTAAATAAGATTCCATACCATATTAAGGTTTAGATGTGATAGGAAACTTGAAATAATAGTGGCTTATACAAAATAGATTCTTATTCTTGTTTGCATTTAATGTACTCTGGAGATAAGCAGTACAGGTATGTCAGCTTCACGATATCAAAGAATTAGGCTAATTTTATTTTTACCTCTGTGTGAGGCATCTGGAAAACATGACTCCATGGTCCAGCATGACTGCCAGAGAAGGGAGGCAGGTACAGGACCTGTCTCTTCTGGGGATATTTCCCAAGAGTTGATGATTTGCTTTTTGTTTAGAATCCATTGGACAGAACCTAATCATATAGTCATGCTCACCTGCTGTAAAAGCTTGGAAATGTTACTTTATAAAGTAGGTGATCATTCGAGAAATAAGTACAAAATGATTGATGGGCCACCGACCAACCTCAGCTACTTAAAAGGTTAGAAGTACCTCCTTTAGAAGATTTGAAATACACAAGTAAGCCCAACTTTTTAATGTGACTTTTTAGGATTTTTAAACACAGAATTTCTTGTTTCTTCTAGGTATTTGTTTGGATCTATGACCCAGTTCACTTCAAAACGTTTGTCATGGGATTAATTCTTGGTAAGTAACAGAGTGAGCAGCTTCAAAGTACAACCTCACCTCAAAAATTTAGAGAAGAAAATAAAAAATTACAGAATACATAAATAACAATGGCCAGTAATCATATTTAATACTTAAAATTATACTTATTCCTACTCATACTAAATTTAAGACAAGACAAAAATTATTTGTACGATTATGATAGTACTCAATTTTAGGGAAAACGAAGACTAAAAAAATGGGGAATGCATGATGATGTGACTGATAGATCCATTGTTTGCTCTTACAGAAGGCAGTGTGAAAATTTTCAAATATCAAGTTCATATATTCTCTTGGACCCTACAATTCTCCTTCTAGACATCAAGCCCACTGCTATTCTCATGTAGTTAACACAACTCAAGAAAGTCTGTTGACTTACCAGATCACTGGATTATATTTAAGAGTTGTTAAGTATTTTCAAGTCAGAACCCACCCACAGCTGACCCTATAGGGGGTTTTCAGAGGCAGTTAATCACACAGATTACATATCTTTTTCTCATAGAGCTAAAGGTCGATTAGAACCACATTCGTTCCGGTTAGAAGGGCAGCTCCTCACCATTAGGCCACACGTGCTCCATATATTTAGGAGAGTAATTGTAGAAAGAATGAAGGCAGTGTGGAGACAGTTGTACCTGCCCTGTACTAGTTCTGCAAGGGCTGACTGCCCTCACCAAGGCATTTACAAACAAAGCCAGTTCCCACATGGTCACACAGTACCCTACACTCTCATGCCTACTGTTACTAATTAATTCCACCACCACTCCTGCTCTCCTGGGTCCAGAATTTGTTATCATAGCTACTCAGACTTCCCAGAAGAAGCTCTCAAAATTATGGGACTTAATGGGGAAGTTAGCAGGTTAAAACTCATAAAGACAACAGAATGCCGTTTGAGTCAGGAACATGCCTACAGGCCCCTCAGCCTCGCAGCTTGCAGTCAGTGTTACAGAGCTCTCTTAGTCCTGCCAGGTACGGCATACCCCTCCTCCACCCCTCGTCTTGCAGCACGTCTGGGAATAGGCTCTGGCTCCTGGGAGCAGCCCGCCCCGGTCAGCTGTGTCTCGTGTCAGTCTCTGGGTCACTGCTGATGCTCTTCCCTAAGTCCTGGTCTGACTGGCAGAGGAACCTCGGGCCCCAAAGGCCATGTGCTTTTTTTCTCTTCTACTGTCGCTTGACTGGTAGTGAGCTGAACCTGGTCAGTTTAAACTGGTAGAATGGCCAAACCGGCCAGTGCCTTGATGGATAGACTAACAAACATTATCTGCATGTTCCTGCCCAGGAAAGCCATTTTGAACAATAGACCTAATACACCGCAGTAATTTGCAAATGTTGTTAAAATGTTAATGCCTATAACTTTGGCCTGGAGTTTCAGGGTGGCACAATGGTTAAACACTTGACTACTAACCAAAAGACTGACAGTTCCAATCTGCCCAAAGGCACATTGGAAAACAAGCCTGGCCGTCTGCTTCTGATAGGCCACAGTTTTTGAGAAGTGTGGACCGGTTCTGCTCTGACACACTTAGATCATCATGAATTAGAATCAACTTAACAGGCAGCTGACAATGGCATGTTTTGGGCTAATAATTTCACTCCAGGGGGTTTTCTTATATTGTAATTATGTAATTGCACTAATGTACATATTATTGTATTATCTGTAAGAGCATAAAACTAGAAATATTGATAACCTTCAATAAAATTATAATTATGACATTATAGCTGCACAGTGGAAAGAAGGAATTCTTGTGGTACAGTTGCTGACTAAAAAGTTGGTGGTTCAAATCCACTCACCATATCTCAGAAGATGAGGTTTGCTTCTGTAAAGATTTCCAGCCTTAAAAAAAAAAAGATTTCCAGCCTTGACAGGCCTCTGGATAATTCTGTTTACCCTGTTCTGCGAGGTTGCTCTAAGTCAGGATTAACTCAGTGGCAGTAGATTGGGTCAGTTGGTACAGTGGAATCTGTGCCTTTTAGTTAAGCCCAACGCCAGCTCAGAAAACCTTCATTATATAGCCATCATTTACTTTGTATCATCCCTTTGCTAAATATTTTACAGGTGTTACCTCATTTGAGTCTCAAATCAGATTTTTTTTATTACTTATATATTAAATAGTAATTTAGCCTCAAAGGGGTTCAAGAAACTCATCCAGGTTACTCAGTTTGTCATGATGATGTTGCCTTCTGCCTTTGTGTCAGAATAGACTCCTAGCACCCCCTAGTGAGTTTTCAGAAGCTCTTAATCTCATGGGAAGAAACTGCCAATCTCCCATGGAGCAGCTGGTGGATTTGAATCACCTGTCTATGGGTTGGCAGCACAACTCCTTAACCCTTTAGGCCACCAGAGCTGACTGTAACCCGGTCCCTCTTACTCCCATCCTTAAATAACCTTGCTTCTAATACCTGTGCGTTCTGTTACATGAACTATATTGGTAGTAATTAACTCTTCTCTGTGTCCCCATCTTGTTTGAAAACAACCACCAAAAAATGTGGATATGCTTGTTTGCATTACCTGACTCTTGAACAAACATCACTTGGTAAGCTTTTTAAATTTGGAGATGTCAGAGCTCTAACCAGAATCTCCCAAGGGGAAAAGCCTTTGGATTGTTGTTGTCAATAGGTTTGTTCCTGTAAGTTCCCTTAAGTGATTGAGGTATGTCAGCCCAAACGTTTGAACAGGTTTGATCATCCCTTGCTTATTTTCTCAGCTGCTGATCACCAGCTGGGCACTTACGTATATGAGGCACTCTAGTTATTACTTTATTCTGTGCATAAAAATGACCTCAGTTCCCTTGCCTCTTAAAGTCTTCCAACAGAAGAAACTTAAGATCTAAGACAATCTTTGATAAAAAAATTATCTTTTCAAATGCTGTTATATATATATTGTTTGTCAGTCTTATGTTTTTATTTTATTCTTTAGAAAGGATTTTTTGGTGTTTTATTTTCCATTTGGAGTTTTCATTAGGCCATAATACTGTGTCCTGGAGTGATATTTATAGACTGAATAATAATAGGCATACTTTTGAAATTATAGTTCCCTGGATGCTCTGCTCTTTCACTCTTCAAAGTAATTCAGTGGATTGCAGCTTTAATATTTTACACATCTCATGAAAACAACTGCAGTTGATAGTTTAAGGAGGTAATTTAACACAGTTAAGGAGTCATTTACACCACAAAAACCTTAGCCCCATTTAAGACCAGTACTGCGCATATTAAGTTGATCCACAGTTGACCATTGAACACCATGGGTTTGCGGTGCGTGGATCCACTCACGCATGGGTTGTCCCTCTCACCCCCTTGCTCTTGCTATGAGGTCAGGTTGAGTGTTCCTGATCATCTGTAAGAGCGCGTCCCCTTTCCCTGATGACAAGATTGTTCCTATGAGAGGTGAACTACTCAAGCATCCAGTAGCATTCTAAATGGACACTTAAAACACGTAAGCCCGTGCATTTCAAGCCCCTGACTGATGTTCAAGGATCGACTCTAAATTATACATGGATTTAAAACTTCAGTGGAGGCTGGTACCCCGCAGTGTTCCAGTGTAAACTGTATATGAAACTGTTGATGATAACTTTTCTTTTTTGGTCTATTAACATGATTGTGTTGTGTTTTCCTTTGCTAGTTCAAGGGTTTTCCCTGGGGTCCGTGGTATTGCACCTGTTAACTTCGCCCTTTGTTGTTGCAGTGATTGCGGTGATAGCAGCCACCCTCTTCCCGCTCTGGCCAGCAGAAATGAGAGTGGGTGTTTATTATCTCAGCGTGGGGGCAGGCTGTTTTGTAGCCAGCATTCTTCTTCTTGCTGTTGGTAAGTGTTATTAGTACAACTGACTTCAGTGAGGTAGGTATTGTACAGTGTAGAATTTCTAAATTTCAATTGGGAGACCAATCTTTATAGCAAAATTCTAGGCTAATCAAGAAGTTACATTAAATAAATAAACTCTTAGGTCACATCTCCAAAAAATGACCCAGGCCAAAGGAGTCTATATGTTTGACTGCATACAATGAAATCTATAGAGATTTAATAAATTTTCATCTGACTCACATAGATGTGCTTTACATTAGCTGTAGCAAAGACTTAAAAATATTGGCTGTTTTGCTTTTGTAGAAGTTATAAGTAAAGCATATTTACACTTTTTACTTAAGGCAAATGAAACTAGGGTAGATCATTTAAAGAGCTGAGTGGTTTTTAAGCTTAAATCAACAAAGTATAAGTGAATGTTTGACATTTTAGGATGACAGGTCTTTCATAACCAAAAATTGAACACATTTCATCACATAAAAGTAAAAACAGAGTTAAAAGGTGAGCTTAAAACTGACAGCACAGCTAAAGATTAACATCCTCATGTCCTCATCCCATGCATAAGAGAAACCTTGGGTCCCTGAAATGAAATTGCAAACAATATGATGATCTAATTCAGGAGAGTAAATAAAAATCAAATGATTGATAAATACAAGAAGCATATTTACTATTATTGTGATGTCTCATCAGGTAGGAGCTAACTCCCAGCTGACCCTCCGCACACACGTTCAGAGGCCATGCTTTCCCACGTTTCTCCAGAGCAGCTGTGGATTTGAACCACCAGCCTTTGAGTTGACAGTGCAGCTCCTTACCTGTGGGCCACCAGAACCCCCTTCTTTGTCGTTAGCAGTAAAATTAAAATGAAGTGTGTTTTCTATTTAAAATATTTTTACCTTTTCTCTTTCAACTCTGGATTCTAATAGAATGCACAAAAGTTTCCAAATATTTTTCTTGTGAAAATAGAAATAACAACTTTTATAATTAAGTCAAGGCAGTTACAGCCATTTCCTGTGAAATACATCCAGAGTAAAACTGGAAGAAATATAGATGAGTTGTTTTCAGTCTTTTTGTAAAGACTAATATAAATGTTTTTAAAAACATGCTGTAACATTCACAAAATCATTATAATCTTTAAAGATGTACTTGTTTATACATAACTGACAAACCAAGAGGAAACTACATTGAATATTGTGATCACCCATTAGTACAAACTTCATTTCAGCCAAGTTAATTTTTCTGTTTTCTAACAGCTTTGTCATAGTGTCATAAGGAGTGACCTCAGAAGCCTCGTGTGTTGAGGGCTTGGGGTTTTCATTAGTATTGTACTGTTCCCTAACATCACGTGTAGGCTAGTCCCTTAAGTAAGCCAATATTTTAGTTACCACATTAACAAAATGTTCAGGATAATGTTTCTTTACTGTTTAAAATTTACTGTAAGATCGACTTAATACTAACATTCTTCCTTTTAATGCCCACTCAATTTTAAGAAGAGTGCTTCAGGCTCCATATTTTTAAAAAGCTCACTGAAATGTTTTTCTTTTAAAATCAGAGGGAAAAAAACTACTATAGATGAATGTATACATAATAATGAGCCTAGGCTGATGAAGAGGCTCTAGTGGCAAGAAGCTGTGCTGCAATCCTGAAGGCACACAGTTCAAATCCACCAGCTGCTCCACAGGAGAAGGGTGGGAATCTCCTTCTGTGCCATTAACTGCCTCTGGAAACCTGCCAGAGGGTCAGCTGTGGGTCTGTTCCAACTCGACAGTGCACAACGACAACAGGCTGTACTGTGTTTGACTTTCTACCAATGTAGTAAAAGGATCACTTTTAATATTTTTTTTAATGGAAGGATGAGACTTACGTAGGTGAAAGTGCACAGGGCCTAGTAACCTTAATGCAACCCTGCATGTCAAAGAATCCGTTCTTAATTCCTAAGTTGTCTTCATCTATTACTAGTATTTATGTTCTTGTTTTCATACCAAGGACTCTTGAATATTTTCTTCCAGCTGATTGCTGGGGTATTTGAAGTATAACACATTAAAGTGCTTAAAAATAGATCGGTGAAAAGAATTACTAGTATCACTCAGAAAACCTCAAGCTGCATGCCTTTGAGTTGGAATGGACTCATAGCTGACCCTCTTGTAGTTTTCAGAGGCTGAAGTCACACAGGAGGAAATTGTCCATCTTTCTCCCGCAGAGCAGCTGATTTATTTGAACCTCCAGTCTTTGGATTAGTTGTACATCTCCCTGTGCCCTACGTATAAAAGGGTAGTTTTTTGAGAGTATCACAGCATTTTGTCCTCACTCAGTTTGGAGTAGGATGCTCTTTTTTTTTCCTAGAACACTGTGGTCCTTTTAAATCTGTGGGGAGTTAAATGCTCATACTAAAGACGCAGAGTTAACTCTTGACGGCTAATCGAGAGCTCAGCAGTCCACCCTGGTCGGCAGAGAAAGATGAGGTGTTCTGCTTTCGTAAAGATTTACTGCTTTGAAAACCCAGTGGGCCAGTTCTACAGGTTTGCTGTGGATTTGGAATTTGACTCCTTGGCACTGGGTTTGAATCTGGGTTTAGTAATGTGCAAATCATAGCCTTATCTTAGGGTTTCCCCTCCCCTCTCGCTTATTGCAATCAGTGCTTGAATCATTCATTTAGAGAATCTTTTCTCCCCACAGCTCGTTGCATTCTCTTTCTCATCATTTGGCTCATAACTGGAGGAAGGCACCACTTTTGGTTCTTGCCAAATCTTACTGCTGATGTGGGCTTCATTGATTCCTTCAGACCTCTGTACACACACGAATACAAAGGACCAAAAGCAGACTTAAAGAAAGATGAGAAGTCTGAAGCCAAAAAGCAGCAGAAGTCCGACAGTGAGGAGAAATCAGACAGTGAGAAAAAAGAAGAGGAAGAGGGAAAGGTCGGACAAGGAACTAATGGGACAGAAGGTCCAGGAGGGGAACGACATTCAGACACAGACAGTGACAGGAGGGAGGATGACCGGTCCCAGCACAGTAGTGGGAACGGGAATGATTTTGAGATGATAACAAAAGAGGAACTGGAGCAGCAGACAGATGGGGATTGTGAAGAGGAAGAGGAGGAGGACAGCAAGGATGGAGAAACAGCTCACCTGTCACAGGAAAAATCATAAACTTGCTGTCGTTTGGGGACTGGATAAGTGCAAGAGGGTGGATTTTCTCTGCTGATCATCAAAATGTACACGTGGTATTTGTAGCATCCTTTAATTTGCTGAAATGAATTGGACGTCCATGCAGTTCTGTTCAGTCCTTCATGTTATAAACTGCTATTACTGGTACAGTCTAAAGCCACTGAAACATGAGTTTTGTCCATTTGATGATAATTCTACAGTAAGCAGGTCTCATTCCTTTTGATAGTTACCCAAGATGCAGTTTCCACAGTGACTTTAGATTAATTGCATTTTTTAAATAATTGGCTCTTTATTGTTAGGCTAATCAGAATAACTAAAAAGAAGGCCAGCATTTCAGATTATGCATAGTTATGGAACTATTTCACTGTTTCTTTAAGATGAAACAAACTCATTGTTCTCTTGATAATTAAACATTTGTTTTCAATTTTATAAAAGTAACCAGAAATTTCTCTTGAAGATTCTGAGCTAGCAGGGCTCAAAGGCATTTTGTGGAAACATGCCAGTTAGTAATAAAGCAGTAACACTTTAGTTTAGCTACAGATTCTCTTTTTTCCAACTTAGGAAATCCAAACAGGTTTGTACATCTGATTCAGAGAAAGTTGGTCATCTCCAGCAACATGATGGCTCTTACCCACCTTTCCCCGTTTCCTTGTCGTAACATAAAATGTATTCTGTACATAATTTACAAATAAACATTTTATTTTAATTGTTACTTATTATTTAGACATTTTCTCAACACATAAATTTGTAAAATTAAAACCATGTATGGTTATGTTTTTAGAGAATTGCAGGTTTTCAATAACCCACAGAACATCTGTGATCAATCTTTCTACAGCAGCTTCAGTTTTGTGCCAACATTCCATGTATTTGCATAAAATCTGATCTTTACTAAATAAGAACAGACTTAAAAGTAGCTGTTTGTACGCCTTAATGCTCATTTTGATTTCTTTTAAATCTCTTCATTCAGAAACGGAGTACTGTATTACCAGACCAGGAGATACTGCTGTGAAAGATAATTTACTGTTCTAAAATACCGATTTAAAATAAAGAGCATAAGAGAACCCTTGGACTCTTAATTGCTTTGAACTAGTTTGCAGTTCAGTTTTATGTCTTGCATACCTAAGTTACAAGTTATTAGTTTTTTTAAAGTCTTGTACAGAGGAACATTTCAATATCATTCCTTGTCACTCTTATGAGTTGATAGAATGAACATAAAATTACTTTTCTTCCTTCAGTCTCAGTAAGAATATTTGCTTTGCAGTTTAAATAGGTCATGTGTGTAGGTTTTTGTTTCTCTTTGGGCTGTTTTCCATTAGTGTTTTGTCTAAAGATACCTGTGAAATTTTTCTAATTGTGAAAAAAAAAATGTTTTCTGTAAATTAACCTATTTTATTAAATGTGGCCAAACAGTTTAATAATATTTCTTGTAAATGTACAGAAATATGACTTTCAATGTTAAGACAACTGTCAAGAAGATAGTAAGTCATTTTAAAATGGAGTTTTTCCCTTAGCAAATTACTTGAGTGACTGGATGTTTCCCCCTCATTTTCACAGAGCTCTGTTTCTTCCAGAGTAAAAGCACGTATATTTAGGTTCTGAGCTTAATCACCAGGAATAATATCTATTTTGGGGTATAAGAATAGTACCAGAAGAGCTTTGATACAGAGATGGCTTAGTAAACTTTTACTTCTATGATGATACCAGATACTTGGTAGAGATCCTAATGCCCTTAATAATGTATGAATTGTGGCAAGTCACCTGGAGCATGGCAGTTGGAATTATCAGCTCCTTACGTTTGTAGATTCTTACAGAATGTTAGTACAAATATTTATAACGCCTTGGTAACCCCAGGAGAGGAAATGTCACTCTTCTTAATAATGACTAGAAAGTGAGTTAGAGGTAATCAGATCAGTGTTGTCTATTTTCCTATTCAAGGTTGTATTCTTTAAACAAATACGTAAGAAGGCTGCCACTCTCACAGCCCTCAGAACAGGCAGTTTTTGTGACTAACATTAAAGATTCTTTTCTAGAGCATGAATTGTTTACATTCATCAGTGGAATGGTGATTTTTTTTTTGAATGGTGATTTTTTTTAAAAAAAATCAAAGTGGAAGCATGAGGTTTTTGGATAATACAGGATTTCTTGTGATGTGGATCTCACTGGGCTAACTAAGCAATATTGGCTTAGCGGGAGGCTGAATGCAGATAGACTAATGCATAAATGATTGTTCTTAAAGTCAGTGTATGAAATAGAATGTCTTTTCTTTCCCCCCGAATTTTTACTTTATATTTCAGACTCACAAGCCTCTTTTAGAGAACTTTAATTGAAGTCATTCCTATTTAGGAGAATGCTATTTAGAAAGTAATAAATACTAATATATTTAAACTGAAATTAATGCCGATGGGTTTTGATATTCCTCGTCCCCCCATTCTAGTTAGCTTAAAGCTGAAAGGTTCATCTGTTGTCTCTGTAAGTAGAAGACTCTTTAGAATCTCACTATTATTAGGAACTGATCAACAGCTCTACCATAAAGCACTAATACATATGTTAACCTTATCTACAGAATAGAATTCATTACTGAATGATCAGTATCTGAGTAACATTATAAATATTCACTGTCTAAAGTACGTAATCCCTAGATAATTTGCTGCTGCTTCTTCATTTCAACCATATTTAAGCTTTTTGTTTCCATTCATTCTTTTTCTTCATTCGTTATTCATTCATTCTTTACTACTGAACACTTAACTGTGGGCCATAATTTTACCAAGGACATACATGAGTTTAAAAAGTGCAGTCTGCATGAACATCATGGGCTGTAGTAAGGATTTGCCAGAGGTGCTGAGTGTTTTATATACCCTTCCACATCCATGCTTTATCAGAAGGCTGGCCTGATAGGGCCTCAGCAGTGGGCTGCATTGCCTCCTGGCTTCTGGATCAGTTTGGCCAAGAACTGTCCTGTCCAAAAACCTGAGGACCCCACACTGGCCTCCACCCCTCTTCTTAATTACTACTCCCTGTTCTCTTCCAGTCAAAACTGATGTCCACTTAGGTACAGGGTTTGAGCTTCTGAAGCTACTTAAGATTGATAAATGAGAGAGATCCTGGGTAACAGTTCAATATTGAGGAGCTCACCTCTCAGCAAGTTCTTGTCACCAAACATTAGAATTTTACACCCTAAAGAGACAGACCGAAGAGTTTTGGTAGCCAGCATACAGTGTTCTGGTATTATATCTATCTATCTTTGCTAAGAAACAGAAGATGAATTTCCATTTGTTTCCTTTGGCAAACTCCTAAACCAATGTCTGCAGCATCTGTAGCATTTGGCATGTTTCTGAGTAGATCCCAGATGCCTTCACGTTTTCCCACCTAGCCTTGTATGTCTTTTTCCATCTGGATGAAAGTTAAAACCAAAAAGAAGACATGAATTCTTTCGGTTTCATTACAGAGTTGTCTAAAAGACTCACCATCTCTCCTTAGCATGATACCTGAGTGAGAGAGCAGGGTAGGCACAATCTCTTTGAGGTAAGAGCATCACTCTTGTTTTATTTCATTTTAGTGTCTAGATCTTCCTTATGCCATCACTCCTTCTCAGAATGTTTTTAAATTCAGGTAATACGTGTGATTATAAAGGAAACCAATTGTATTAAAGTATAAGTTATCAAAATACATGTATTTGTGCAAGTGTAATATATTTCTGTGGCGCTCTGGTCACCTAGCGGGTAGGGAATTGTGCTGTTGACCCAAAGATGGTGCCTTTGATGGTTCGAATCCACCAGAAGCTCCGTGGGAGGAAGGTGTGCAGGAAGCCTCCTCCCATGGGATCTCACAGCCTCTGAAAACCAGCTGGAGGGTCAACAATGAGTCAGTCCCACCTGGACAGCAGTGAGTGTAAGGTGGCTTGGTTTGTGTTTAATATATGTATCTATGACAAAAGCAGTTCTGCAAGAGCATCTGATAATTGCTATGAGGTGGAAGCAGCAGAACCTGAATATGGGTGTGTCTTTGACAGTTGTCGTGATTTCAACAGAATGATTTCAACTATGGATTGCCTGCATTTATAACGAAATTTAATTGATAACCAAAGGAAATAGCTTTCATTTACAGCCTGGTCAGAGTAAAGATAGACTTTTCTTCTTCCCACCACCTACCTTCCTGTTGCATGAAGAGAATGAATGATTCAACCACAGCAGTTGACCTGCTACCAACAACTGATCACAGTGCAGTCTTTGCTTAGAAGTCTGTGGGAATAGGACTCTTACTAACCATATTAAGGACCATTTTTATTTTATTTTGTGCCTTAGGGATTGCAGTGCAGCTTCTTGCCACTACTTTTACAGTAATGGTCTTATGCAATATATGTCCTTATTAGAGTTCTGTGCAGCAGTGTTTGAAATGGGAGAATGAAGAAGGGATCTTATCCATATGGAGATTGTTTCCGTGAACGAACGTCTGTGGGGTGATTATGAGGAGCTAAGCAGGTGCAAGCACTGAACTCGAGGAACCGAGGGAGAGCCTGCGGCCGGCCACTGTGAGACTTCAGCAACATGAGCCCAGATGCCTCGCTTTTGCTATTTGTGTTTCTGTTGTTGGAACTGAATGAGGTCTCAAGTATGAGCACAGAGCACAGAGAATGACTGCAGGATCCCGGCTTTTAACAGGAAGTGACCGTCCAGACCACACCTAGACTACTCTGATTGCAAAGAGGGGTGAGGGGTGGACAATGGGACTTACGGTAATCACCAAAATCTGAAGATTTCTAAGATTTGCATTTTTTTAAAAAGTTTATTTTATTATTTTTTGTGTGTACCGTCAAATCGGATCTAACTGGTACAGGAGGAGATTGCCCCGCCTCCAGCAGAGCATCTGGTGGATTTGAACCACGAACCTCTGGGATTGCAGTGCAGCTTCTTGCCACTAGGCCACCAGAGCTCTAAGATTTGCACTCTTAACCACTACTTCTTTCTTGGTTTTAAAGTATCTTAAAAGATGTTCTGAAAAATCAGATATGTATAAGCAAAC